ATTTCCCTAACCCGCAATTTTTCGCTCGTTTGGCTACCCGGCTTCATGTTCTACTGTCAGTTAAATGTACCCGGCTTCATCGGAGGGCATTCTATCTTTTTTTGTAGTGAAAAGTTGAATGATTTCAGATGAAATTGTTCCATGTATGACAAGAAATTTTATGCTACTGTGAAAGCTCTTAGTCACTAAAGCTCTTAGTCACTAAAGTAATTATCTATTGACAAGTTATTTCATTCATTATACTTATCATGAGGCATTGTGGTTCCTGAACAATTAGAACAAGTTGAAAGACAAACATGCCTCTTAGGTTGAGATCTTTTCTTTTCCTTTTGTGCTAAAGAATAAAATTGCGAGTCAAAACAAGATAATTTATGTGGTAAGCTTTAGCCACTTATTGATCATCACCATGTAGTCGAAGTTAACTGGTTTCAAAGCCTTAAATGGCTTGTAAGCCACTCATGAAGACTTTCAAGAAATTTGGAATCATTTCTAGGGGAGACTGTATTAGCTATTTCATAGATTGGATAAACATCAATCTTACTAAAATAAAAGGTAAGAGATATGAGTGAGGGAATAGGAATAATAATATTTCTTTTTATGTTTATTTTTTCCCTTTGTATTTTGATATTCTCTCGCATATTTGCTTGGAAAGAATATAGAAAAGGGGCACTAGTTTACATCTTTTGTAGTACCCTACACTAGTTTACATAAAGTCAGATTTGAATGGTTTTATTTGGTATGTGCCTTTTGCATGTTATATTTGGTATGGTAATGTTGCGAAGTAAATATATGGTTATTGTTGCATGTATATATGCATGTATGAAGTAATACTAATTCCGTAGTTTTGATTTCAGTTAGTGAGCAAATGCAAATATGTCCGAATTAAATCTTTCACAATCGGAATCATCCAACAATTAGTTGCTACCAGAAGCTCAGAATAGCAAAATAATTGCCAATCTTAATTTACCAAGTACAGAGCCAGAAAGTAGTACCTCAAGTTGTCATTGATAATATTAGTGAAAAAGTCTTTAATAAGAAGGGTAGGAAGGGGAAGTCAGCAGTGTGAGAGTATTTTGTGGAGGCAATACCCAAACAACTTTTTGGCAGTGCATTTGTTGTCAAACAAAATTTCAAAAATCTAAAACAGGAACAACTTCTCAACTTTTACGTCATGTGAGGGAGTGTGGACAAATCAAAACTAAAAAAAAAGGAAGACGTTGGTCTTTCTAAAAAAGGATAGAAAATGTTGAATTTTATGTCAAATGCTTTTAATGCAAATGTTGAGATTCCAGTTTTTCATGATCTAAAAAACTATGATCAACATAAGGTTAGAGATATGATCTCCAAAATGGTTATAGTGCATGAGTATCCTTTTAATATTGTGAACATAAATGATTTAATATTTTATTGAAATCCTTGAACCAAAATTATGAGAAAGTTTCAAGGAACACAATAAAAACTGATTGCATGAAGATTTATGAGTTCGAAAAAGATAAGCTCAGAAATCAATTTTAGGATATTCACAGGTTTTCATTAACCTCTGATTGTTGGACTTTCAATCAAACAATCAGATATATGTGTCTAACTGTTCATTACATTGATAAGTCTTGCAAGATGCAAAAATGAATTATTAATTTCATTGAATTGGATCTACCTCATACTGTGACATTCATTTGTGATGTCATTTATGATTGCTTGTTAGATTAGAAGATATAGGACAAAGTTTCTACTATCACATTAGATAACGCTAGTAATAATGATGTTGTTGTTAGATTGCTCCAATCAATTTTTTTATCATGAGGGAAATTATATTTTAAGGGATATTTCTTTCATATTCGTTGTTGTGCTCATATATTAAACATTATGGTGCAAGTTGGTTTGAGAGAGTTTAATGACATCATTTATAACATTAGAGAGTCTATCAAATATCTGAAGAAGTCATCGTCAATGTTACATATGTTTGCTGAGATATACAGACAATTAGGGATATCAACATCAAAGGGTTTGTACATCGATGTTCCAACAAGATGGAACTCAACTTTCTTAATGTTCGAATCTGCTTTTATTTTTCGGAAGATGTTCGCTTACTATGCAAATCAAGATAACAATTTCAGTTGGTTGCCTTAGTTGGTTGCCTTCAGATTTATTGAGAGAAATATGACAAAATCAGAAAATTTCTTATTGTTTTTAATAATGTGACAAAAATAATTTCAGGTTCTTTCTACACAGCCTCAATTATGATTTTTCTGTGATTTTATGCACATAATGAATTTTATTTTTTTTATTAATATGACAAAAAAATGATTTCAGGTTCTTCCTACTCAACCTCAAATATTTTTTTACCAGTTGTTTTCTATATAAATAAATTGTTGTTGGATGAGTCGACTTCCTCCGATGACTATATGAGGAACATGACTTTTGCTATGAGAGGTAAAGTTGATAAATATTGGGGTGAGTGTAATCTCCTAATGTCTGTTGCAGCTGTTTTGGTTCCTCATTTGAAAATGAAGTTCATACATTTTAGTTTTGCCAAGATGTATATATCTATTGAATTAGACTCCAAAATTAAACAAGTTGAGGATGTTATGTTGGAAATTTGCAATACGTATGCAAACGATATTGCTAGTTCCAGTTCTGGAAGTGACAATGTTTCTTCGGAGTAGCCAAGTGATTTAGTTAATTCATAAAGTTTTGATTGCATGCTTGGATTTACTGATTTTGTTGTTTCATCTGGTTCTATTCAACCATCAAAATCAGATTTACAAGTCTATCTCGAGGAGGGTCTTTTTTTAGTCAATAATGAACATTTTGATATTCTTGAGTTGTGGAAGTTGAACACTCTCAAGTATCATTGCCTATCAAAAATAGCTAGGGAGATATTATCAATTCCAATAACAACAGTTGCTTCAGAATCTGCATTTAGTACTGGTGGAAGAGTTCTAAATGATTACAAAAGTTCACTCTCGACAAAGACAGTGAATGCATTAATATGCTCATCTAGTTGGATTAGATCTTCCACGAGTCGTTTGAAAACACTTATGGTAATTTTTCTCAAGAATTAGCTTCTATATTATATGTACTTTTTCATCTTAAAATTGATATTTATATAGCTTTCCTTCCAACAAGAATTAATGGAAGAGGAATAGCTTGAAGTGGCACTGCCCGAGTAAATAGAGGGGAGGAAGGAAATGATGTTAATTAAGCTTTCATCTTGCGAATTGTGATATTTTCACACTGCGAAAGTGTATAAGTACTGTTCGCATTATATTTGAATGTATACAACTGTTACATTTTATGGTTTATTCATTCTAAACTCTGATTATATCGGAATGTATCCAATTGTTACATATTGTTGGCTAATATTTTAATGTTTTATGTCGTCAGGTGACAACATTTGGGATTTAATGAATCCTGTAAATGTAGATTTAGTAAATCCTAATGTGGCTAAATCTCATAAACTGTTTGGGATGACATGAAAAAACTGATCAAATCCTATGAAAATATTTAACAACTTTGTAGGATTTAAATGTGTGAAACTAGATTTACTAAATCTAGGGATTTGAAGTAGCAATTTGGCAAGATTTAAGTTAAACCTGGCTTACATTATGTCTTGAAGCTGTAACCAAACAGCCTTAAAGTATTATGCATCTTTCATTAACTTAAATTATGAGTTTTGATTCTGGTTGGTGCTGCAGTCATCAATATAATCAGTGGCATAGCTTTAAAAGCCAAACTATGCTCTTCTATTTTTTTACTGCAGTACTTCAGGAGGGGTGGGGGGAACTGCAGAAGCCACTTGAGGGTTTGAAGAGTCAGGTACCTCCCGAAAAATGGGTTCAATGGACTGCAGATTTTTAGTTTGAAAGTGTTGGCATTTAGGAGGTTGTTCAAATTCCCTAGCAGCTCCAGTATAATTGGGTTTTCTGGTTTCAGATTGTGTTGGGGTAGTGGGAGGTTGTAACACCCCTTGGTCCATTGCTGCAGGACTTCCTGTATGCACTGCTCAGCTGCATCAGCAGCAATGTCTTAGATGATTATTCTTACTCTTAATTTTGAAAAACAACACAAATTTGCAACCATTTTAGGATAAGAATATGAAAATGAAGCCTTAGATGATTATTTTTACCCTTAATTTTGGAAGACAACACAAGTTTGCAACCATTTTAGGATAAAAATATGAAATGATGTCTTAGATGATTATTCTTACTCTTAATTTTGGAAGGCAACACAAGTTTGCAATTATTTTAGGATAAGAATATAAAATGAGCAAAATTTTGCCATTAACAATTAACAATTTTGCTCTTATTATATGTTTGAACAATTGAATTGTTTGCACTTTCTGTAGAATAAGACAAGAATATGACTTTGAGGAGTTTTGGATGTAAGTTAGATGTGGCAATTCTTGACTTGTTTGCTGATGGAGAACTACTGTAAGCCTTCTTAATAGTTTATTTTTTGGCTTGATTAGCTTTGGTTGCATTGCCGGCTACAGGTTTGGGTTCTTAAAATCAACTGAATAGCAAGCGATTTTGGTAAGCCTTCTTAACAGTTTATTTGTTGACTGATTTTGCTGCAGGTTGCATTGCCGACTACAGGTTTCAGTTCTGATTTGGTAAGCCTTCTTAATGTTTATTTGTTGACTGGTTTTGCTATTTTGAATGTGATCAGAATGAATGGCGAGCGATTGGTCTGCAGCTGAGCCGGGGATGGGTTCATAATGCCATTAATCGTCCTGAGCCTCACATAATGCTCTTCAGGAGGCCGCTTAACTACTAGCAGCAGCAGGAGAACCAGGTTGCGGTTGCTGCAGCACAGCTTTATGGAACTGCTTTATAATGGTAGAACTCTCACCATATTTTTTATTTTGATTTGATTGGCTCAATCTTCCTGACATTTTTACTTGCATAAAAGAGTATTTTTATGTTAGAATTTTAGCTAACACTAGTTATTTGTGTAGATATGAAGAATACATTGATTAAATAATCTCTCATGAGGTGGTAATGACGCCCAATCTTAAGATACTTCAAGCTGCCTACATATGTGACTTATGCAGATACATAAGAGGATGCTTTTTAAATTTTTTTCTGAGTTCATGCAAGTGTCTCATAAGTGTATGCATATTAAAGAAGACATGTAATTCTTTGTGTGTAAAATTTTGTATAATTATTTTTTATATTTTGATTTTTATTTGAGATTTTATTTGTATTTTTTATATTTTTGTTTAATTTGTAAATTGTAAAATTTGTAATGAAGTTGTTTGTATTTTGTAAAATTTTGTAAGAAAAATTATTAATATTCTTTTTGTAAATTTTTTTATGAGATGTTTTCTAGAAATTTTTGTAGTTAATCTTGTTTCATGAAATTTACTCTTAAAATTTGTTTGAAATTAAGTTATTAATACAAACAGTTTTTTTATAAAATTTATAATTTTATTTTTACTTTAAAAAATAAATTATTATAATAATTTTATATTATAACGAGCCAATTTCGAGCCAAACACGAGCCGAACACGAACATGAAAAAATTTTTGAGCCGAACACGAACACACTGTTCACGAAACATTTCGAGCACGAACCGATTTAGAACACGAGCCGATTTTGAACGAGCCGAACACGAGCCAAGCTTGCTCAGACTCGACTCGTTTACAACCCTAAATATATGCATCACAACAACACCATCACTACTGCAATTGTTTAAAAAGTGAGATGCAAATTTTGTTTTAACAGATAAAATATTATAAAAAAAATACTTACTATTTAGTTATCAAATATATAAAAAATTTGTGATATATATCCCACTAATAAAATAAGCTCTTATAGAATCCAACCCTTGCATAATCCCTCGAGCTTAACCCCCCTCCCCGCGCAGTCGTCGTTAATGGCAGCGATGTCTCTCCGCTGGCTCGACGAAGCGTCTCCTCCCTGCTTTCCAGAGCCCTAAACACATCCTCTTCTGCCATTCTGCGATCTCGCCTCACGCCTGCAGCCTCCGCCGTCGAGAGGCTTCGAGGTGTGGCTTCCCCGCTTGCTACCGCCTCTATCCGCTGGGAGACGAGATCGACATCAGGCTCTGGCTACTCTCCAATCAAAGACTCCTCGCCTAACTGGAGTAATCGCCCACCTAAGGAGACGATTCTTCTAGACGGCTGCGATTACGAGCACTGGCTTATCGTAATGGAATTCCCGGAAAACCCTAAACCCTCGGAGGAGGAGATGGTTGCTGCTTATGTTAAGACACTAAGTGCGGTGGTTGGAAGGTAGAAAACGCATAATATTCGTCTACAGCTTTTGTTCGATGTGTATTTTTCTTTTTATGATTGGGCTTATTGTTGGATGGATTTGGATGTCAGCGAGGAGGAGGCAAAGAAGAAGATTTATTCGGTTTGTACTACTACTTATACTGGTTTTGGCGCGTTGATCTCGGAAGAACTCTCGTATAAAGTTAAAGGTACGAGCTCGATTGCTGCGTTTTTGTGTTTGATTTTAGACAAGGATTCTGCAATGAAAGCCAATTTTTTTCTTATTTTTGTTCATTATATTGTATGATTGGTTCGGAATGAGCATAAATAAATTTTGCTTAAATTCTTTGCTTCTTGAATCGTACCTGTGATAGCTGTTTTCTTAAACTTTCATTTGGCAGGACTTCCGGGCGTTTTGTGGGTACTGCCTGATTCTTATCTTGATGTTCCAAACAAGGATTATGGAGGTTAGTAGAAGCAAGTGTGTGTGTGTGTGTGTATTTATTTATTTATTTTTTGTATTGCATAATATAATGTTTAGGTTATGTATCAGTGAGTTTGTGTCATTTGATTTTGTCTTTGCAATCTTTTATGTGAGTTTGTGTCATTTGATTTTGTCTTTGCAATCTTTTATTTTTTTGCATAATGTAATTTATAAGTTAGACTATTTACAATGAAGGGCTTTAGAGACGCCCATGAGGTTTGTTTAAGATTAGGAAGGAACAAATGGGTATGCCATAATTATACAGGCTTAAGATTGTATAAACTAAAAAAATTAATTCAACGCTCATTAGGAATGATTAAGGGAGGGAAGTACATGAAGCCATTAAATTGTTGAAATGCTGATCATAATGATGATTGTGATCTTCTCTTTATTGTGTTGCTACAGGAGATCTTTTCGTTGATGGTAAAGTCATTCATAGGCCACAATTTCGATTTACAGAGAGACAACAATCTTCCAGGAATAGGCCACGACCTCGATATGATCGGCGCCGTGAAACAATGCAGGTGGAAAGAAGGGAACCAATGCAGAGGGACATCCCTCCACCAATGGGTCAGGCTAGTTCACAGCAAGTTTTAAGTAACACACAACAGAATTTTCAGAGTTCGCAAGAAACTGTTTCATGGCCTAAAAATTCCCAATAAGAATTTTATTTAGGGTTTATTTGAAAAGTATGCGGTTAGTACTTCTATTTCTTAATTTAGTATTTTGATGGTTGCTGATAATCCAAGTCTATGTGGTTATGTAAGTAATTGATAGATTAAATCTATTTCCAGGGAAGATAAGGGAGATGGCTGTTTATAACTTCAAGTTTTATTTTTTCCTTGGCATCACTTTTGCTAGAACTTTCTAAATTTGTGTAAAAAAGGAAGCAAGGTGCATTGTAAACCTTTTCTGGTGTTACGTGAGTGCCAATGAACACTCTACATATCCTTGTTTCTCATTATTTTTTAATTAATTATTTAAAAAAAAAAAGCAAGCTGATTTTTTTTTTGTTAATAACCTTGCCGATACTATGAATTACGTTATATTTAGCTTGTAAATTAATCTTTTTAGTTTTATGTATGAATTAGTTTAGAATACTTATTAGGTTTCCCGATCAACTTTTGATATCTTAATATTATCAACTTCTGCGTCAGTGCTTACCTTAGCAAGCTTATGGTAGTAATCAGTTGGAATTTCAAAGGGCTTGCATCTCATCACAACCATTTCCTTAAGTAGATACAAAATGTATTTTTATTGGGAGAATAAGATCCTTACTGTTAAGTTACCCCTTTCATTCCGAGGAATTATTTAAGCCTTAGATATTTTAATGAAAGTTTTTTCGTTTATTTAGTATTTTAGTTTTCTTTTTTTTTTCACCTGAATCATCTCATGTTATGTTTATGTCATCTACATAAACTGGACACTAATTTTATTTTCCTTTATTATTATTATTTATGAATAACATGCGATCCTTGAGGCTTTGCTTGTAGTCCATTCTTTATTTTTTAAATGGCTTTAGTGAATCTCCCAAACCATGTTCTTGGGGATTGTTTGTGCCTATACTAGGCCTTCTTTAATTTACATACATGGTTAGTGCTTGATCTTCTGCCAAAATCCGGTGGAGGTTCCTTGTATGCCTCTTTTGTTAGATCATCATGTAAATGCATTTTTATACCTAAGCATTGTAAAAACGAGTTTTGATTGGCTGTCTGGAATAAATTATTCAAATGGTATTTAGTTTTACAATGCGCTAGATTCATGACCAATGCTTAGTGGAAGTTTTATCTATGCTGCTGCTTCTTCTACTAGATCATAATGTAGATATGTATCTTGTGATGCCTAACTATTGTGAGGGCCAATTCTGGTTGGCTTCCAGGCATAGATGTATTTGAATAGTATTTAGTTTTGCAACTGGTGCAAATTTCTCTATAATCAAATCCATGAGTAGTGAGCCCTTTGCAATGCGGCCTTGCTTATACTTTTTGGTGTCCCATTTGAATTTTAATTGACAGTGTACACCCATTTGCTTTCAATTAGTTTTTTTTTTTCCTTTTGGCATTTCTATTGTCTTCAAAGCTTCATTTTGTTTTAGAGCTCTTATTTCTTTAATTATTGTTTTTGACAATTTTCTATCGTTAAGTGCTTATCTTAAACTTGACCATCGTAAAGAAGGCTTTGTGGGTTGAGGAATGGTTGGGGAGAGAAAAAATGTTGGCTATTGGGTGTTTGGTGTATTTTCGTCTCTTTTGTTAGAGCTACAGGGAAACAATCATCATTTCTCATTTTTTCGCATGGATAGAATCTATACTTTAATTCCATGGCGATTCATCTCACATAAATTAGGTGGTTGAGAATTCTTTCTTTCACGGTTGGATTATTTCCCTCATTGAGTAAACTTATTGTACTGGTTAAGATAAGACACTTTTAGAGCTTTTTCGAGGAGAGGCATAAGTTATCTGGAAGTAGGGTTAACCAAAGCTATTGTTGGTTGGGTAGAAGTTGAGAGATTTAAGTTTAGAAAATCGAAGTTATCCTCATTCCACGGGTTCCTCTGCAAGCAGCTTCAGTCATAACATCCTTTATTTTAGAAGGATGACAATTTGAAAATTATATCTAGAACTTGGGTTGTAATAATTATACTTTTTTTCAGTGGAGTATCCAAGCATTTTCTATGATTATAAAAGCAATTACAGAGATTTATACATTATTTGCTGTTAACTTTTGAGAATAGAGCAGGATAGGTTTCATTGATAGGGAAAGGGGTATACATACATATTACTAGACAAATATAAAAGGAAAGGTATAAATTCAGAAATACATTAAATAGGAAGTACATAAATATGGTAAAGTAAGTAAATAAATGCTAATAAATCAAAATAGTAACTGCTAATAATAATAATCACAACTAATAAGACTATTAACTCTAATACTCACCCTCTAGTTAGAGCATAGATGTCCAGCATGTTCAACTTGGATTTGAAGTTGTTAAATAACAGTTGAGGAAGATTTTTGTGAGGATATTGGCTAGTTGACCATTGGATGCTACAAATGAACCACAATTCTCCCCGGAATTTAGCTTCTCGTTAATGAAGTACTGGTCAATCTTTATATGCTTGGCGCGATTATGCTGGACCAGATTATGAGCAATGTTAATAGCGGCTTTATTATCACAGAACAACTGTAAAGAAGTCAAGACCTGCATATGTAATTCATCGAGCTTGATGCATAACCAGAGAGCTTCGTATGTTTCCAAGCACATGAAATAAAACTCGGCTTCTACACTGCTTCGGGCAACCACCGACTATTTTTTGTTTTTCCAGGTGACAAGGGTTCCACACATGAATGAGCAATACCCCGAGGTAGATTGTTGATCATAGACAGACCCAACCCATTCAGCATCAGTATAAACTGTAATAGAGCGAGAGGTGAGGCGCGAGAATAACAAACCTGAGCCCGGTGTGCCTTTAAGTTGTGGAGGATCTGGTGGACAACTGTGAGATGGTGCTCATAGTGGTCATGCATGAACTGACTTACAATACCCACCGTGTGACAAATGTTGGGGCGCGTATGGGCGAGATAAATGAGTTTCTTCACAATGCGCTGGTAGGGTGTGTTGTTCACAAGAACAATATTGGAAAAATCAGCCAATTTCTCGTTGGGATCCATCAGAAAAACCATCAATTTGCAAAATAGAATGTTTGTCTCTTTCAATAGGTCAATTACATATATGCGCTGGGAAAGGCAAACGCTCCAGCAATTTCCATGTCTCAGAAGTATAAGAGAGACCCAAAGTCTTTCATTTCAAAGGTTGTGGCAATGCTGCCTTTAAGAGAGTCCAAGGCTGGCAGATCATTAACTGTGAGCACAATATCATCAACATGGACGATAAAGCTAGCAATTTGGCTATTAAAACAATGCTGAAAGAAAAGAGTACGATCTGATTGGACCTGGGAGAAATCGTGGCCCACCACCAGCGTGAACTTGTTAATTCAGACCTGAGGGGATTGCTTCAGTTTGTAGAGGGACTTTCGCAGTCGACACACTTGTCCCGAGAAGAAGCAGAGTCAAAGCTCGGTACACCTCCTCTGTGAGATCACCAGTAAGGAAAACATCCTTGACATCCAGTTGGAGTAAGGGCTAATCCAAATTCACAACAATGGATAACGGGACTTGAATGGTGTTCAGTTTAGCAGCTAGAGTAAACGTCTGCTTATAGTCAACTCCATAGGTTTGTGAGTAACATTTTACGACCAACCGTGTTTTATTGCCTTCAATGGTTCCATTGGAGTTAAATTTGGTGCTAAAGATCCACCGAAAACTAACTACTTTCTTTTCCAGAGGAAGGTCAACATTTTACGTATTATTTCGCCGAAGGGCGTTCATTTTATCTATTACTGCAACCTTCCAGGAAGGGTTCGCCAATATTACCTCAATAGTGGATGGAAGACGATCCGTCACAGAATTGGCAAATTTTTTTTAGGTTGGCGCTAAGTTGTGGAATGAGATATATTTTGCCATGGAATAAGGAGAGCGAGTCTGATTACGTACCTTAATGGTAGAACTCACCTTCTCATTCTGAGCAGGAGTAATCACTGCAAGTATAGTGTCGGGGATGTCAACCGGGGCGGATTCCAAGACTAGCAAGGAGGCAACAGGCTCAAGAGTATGGCTTTTAGGGCGTGTCTCAACCAAGGGTTTGATGCGCCGGGTATAGACACGAAGAGTGTACAAAAGAGATGTTCGTCTGGTAGATCGTTTATCCAGTGGGACAAGTGGTGTTGGTCTGGTAAATGGTGGATCTAGTGGGACAGATGGTTGGAGGAGTAGGTGGCATATCCAATGGAGTCGGAAAATTAGTGTCCAAAAAATCTAGCCCTCCCTCACTTGAGACAGTATTGGGGAAGTAGAGAACACTTTCGAAGAAGGAAATATGAACACTCACATAAAGTTTATTTGTGATAGAATCGAGACACTGATAGCGCTTTTGAGTGGTAGAATATCCGAGGAAGATACACTTGATTTAACATGAATCAATTTTGTCACGAGTTGGGGCAATGTTATGAATAAATGTCGTGCACTCAAATATTTTGGGGTCTAAAGTGGAGAATAATCGATTGGTAGGAAAGCACAATCTCAAGACTGCTAACAGGTTCTAGAACTTCAGGACATTTGATTGAAACATAATTGAATGAATAATTTCGAGAAGATGTCGATTTCAGTTATCCCATTTTACTGAAGAGAATTCGTACAGGAGATGTGATGGAGGATGCCTTCATCGAATATCCTCTAATATAGAGTTAAAAAATTCAAGGTCGTTGTCAGTTTGAAAGATTTGAATTGATGTTTTGAATTAGGTCAAAAATGAGAGAGTAAAAATTTTTAAAGGTCACAATAGCTTCAAATTTGTCCTTTAATATATAGGCCCACATCATCCGAATGTGATCATTAATCAAGGTAAAGAACCACCGTTTATAGGTGTAACTAGACGTTTGAGAGAGTCCCCAAAAGTTACTATAAATTAGTGAAAATGTAGCGGAAGGAGTATAGGAGTGTAAGAGTATGGTGAATATAGTACTCGTTGATATTTAGCTAATTAACAAATCTCACATTTGGAACTAGATAAATTTTTGTTAGTAACCATCAAAGATTTTAAATATTGAAAATTGGGATAACCCAAACGATGGTGTAAAAGCATAATTGGACATTCAATAAGCTGGTAAATACTACAACCACTGGATAGAGTGACATCGTCAATATTATTTTTCCCTTGGAAGTAGGGCCCAGCTATCTGCTTAGCAGTTCCAATCATCTTTCCTGAACGACGATCCTAAAAGACACAAACATCAGAAAAAATGAGCAATACAATCAAGATCATATGTCAACTTACTAATTAACAAGATGTTACGCTTTAACAAAGGTACGTGTAACACAGATTCTAGAATCGGCTTGGTTATTGGAACAACACACCTTTTACCCACAACAAAACTACAGAAGCCTTCAACAATTTTAACGGTATCTTCCCAGAGCACAGACAATATGTTGAGAAGGCTTGAGAACACCTGGTCATGTGTTTCATGACACTTGAATCAATAATTCATGGACTAGAATATGCAAAAAACATTGAGTATTATCAATATGCTACCTTGACGAGACGAACATGAGAGGTCGACGGGTCGAAAGATAACTGACTAGATCCAAGTAGCTTGATCAAGTGTTCCATTTGACTCTTAATTGAGTATGGTGACTTGGGATGTTTCGAGTGGAAGCAAGTTGTACTGTCGTGGCTTCTGAGGTCGTAGAGAGACCCTTAGCAGCAGAGGATTTGCTCGAAGGTTTATTTGTTGATTTCCTGTGGAGCTTCCATTACTTGTCATGGGTATGATAGGGTTTGTGATAGCAATCACAAGTGTAATGATTTGTCGTGATGACGTGGAGGAGAGTTGAGCGCTATTAGAGACCAAGGTGAAGGGTTCGAGTGAAGGAGTGGAAGTGTAGAGTATGACGAGTCTTCGACTTTCTTCGTGGCGTATGTAGGTGCATGCAACACGAGTTGAAGGGGATCTCGACCAAAATACAATTCTGGACTTCATCGAGATCCTTGTTTGGACCTACTAGGAATTGGAACACAAGATCCTTTTCCACAATTTTTTGTATGAGGGAAAAATCAGCCAGAGAGTTCCATGTGTAGTTGTAATAGAGATCACATTACATACATACGGCCACCAAGTCATTGTAGTACTGGATCACGATCCTTAATCCTCTGTTTTGCCTCGCGGATCTTCCTGGAAACCTTATAAAGTTGGCCTAATCCGAGTAAGTATCCCAAACTGCCGTCCATAGTGCACTTGTAGACAGAAGAAACAGATATGAACGACTAATTATAGTTGACCTGAAATTGATCAGCCACGACATGACCATAGAATTCTCCACTTCCGAATTGATCAGCCACGACATGATCATAAAATTCTCCACTTCCCATGCTCCATATTTTGAGTCAGTTTTCAGAGGTACACGAATCTTCCCTATTAGATGACTGAATTTCCCGCCTCCTTTGACAAACTATGACATGACTTGGGACCATTGGAGAAAATTAAAGTCTTTAAGTTTATAGGTGGTGATCAAGAATTTCATGTGGTTTTTCGAGCTTCCGACGTATGGAGGGATTGAGGTCGGCGTCGATCCTCGATGGACTCAAGTACACTGTCGGGAGGAGGCTCAGTGTTAGAGGAGTCCTCCATGGTTTTGACTGAGCCAAAGGTGATGTTGGGTTGCCGAGACAGGAAGATTTCGACTGCTAGAGGAAGAATCGGCTATGATGGGCGTTGCAGGGGATAGATATGGCTTCAGGGAGGAGCTCCGACGATCCTGGAGGGAGATCGAGCTGGCTGGAGGAAGGTACGACGACTCCTGAGGAAGATCAGGTATGCTGGAGGGAGATCCAACAACTGGAAAAACACAGTAGTTGCAGGTGATCGGCGGCTAGAAAAAAGTCCTGGTGGCAAATAAGATTAAGACCATGTCTCTGATACCATGTTAACTTTTGAGAATAGAGCATGATAAGTTTCATTGATAGGGATAGGGGTATATGTACACATTACAAGAATCATATAAAAGAAAAGACAAAAATTTAGAAATACATCAAATAGGAAATACATTAATATGGTAACGAAAGTAAATAAAGGATAATAAATCAAATTATTAACTGCTAATAATAACCGCAGCTAATAAGACTAATATTTCTAATATTTTCCAACAGTATTGGCTAAGGTTTCATCCGATTTAATTAGAAGCACTTAGAGGAATGCATTGCAATACTTAATTGATCCATAGGGGATGCTTTTATTGATTTACTCGATGCTTCAAAGAAGTTACAGTCTTTCTATTTCCTCATTTACTAGAACTAAATGAAAATATGACACTAAATAGGACGCAATGGAGAAAAATGATTCATGTAGCCGACCCCACATAGTGGGATTAAGGCTTTGTTGTTGTTGTTGTTGTTGTATTTTTGTAGCTGCTTTGTCTATTTCCTCCATAGAAGTGTTAAACGATGTTTCCTTGGATAGTGTTGATGAGGTTATTATTATTATTATTATTATTATTATTTTGTGTGTATGGAGGTTTTTGTTGGAGTTTCGAAAATATGTATCTTTTTTCTGTTGTGCCCTTTAATAATAGTTTCAAAACACTCATTCTTATTTATTTGACCTTGGTCGGCTTATTATTAGTATTTACTGCAGGGACACAATGCGACTAGAGCTTTCACAAACGATTGATGTTTATAGCTCATAAGTTACCTCCGCTCTTCAATTTTAATAATAAAAAAAGACTATTTAATTTTTGAAATGAGCCTTTTCTAAGTATCTGGATGCATACTTGGTCATTTTTGGCATTTACTCGGGATAAAAATCCAGAAAGTCTCTCTCTTTTTATAAATTACTATAGCATAGCAACACAAACTGCACTAATGCATTGATTGTTATTATGTTTGAGCCACATTTTTTCCTTATGTTATAACACTCAGTAGTTGAGTTAAAGCTTTATTTGGTTATGTAAATTAGTCCCAATTTCATAGACCATGACAGGATCACTAACCTTTTAAGTTTGTTCGCTTCATCATCTTGTAAGTATCTTTGGTTGTTATTTTGAATATACATGTTCCGTTGATTTTTCGGTTC